AAGCGATAAGGGCCCTTTTATATCAGAATACTCTATTCTGAAAATGATTTCACATTTGTATGGATAACAATGCCCTTTGTTTCCTTTGACTAAGTAATTCCGACGTACTATTACGATATGTAAATTGTCCCGAAATCTGACATTTACAAGATATTAAGACCAGATGGAAAGATAACAATCGGTTACATTGAAAAGAAATATCAATGGATTCCCATACACAAATACACCATTCAGTGAATGAGATCTTTGATATATATCAAATGTAATTTTATATACAAGCTTTCTTACACGACTATCAAAGCAATATAAATTAGAAATCTATTTAAGATTGTAAAAATTTTACGACCTGGTCAGGACTCGAACCGCCATTCACAGCGTTTCGAGTGCTACCGTGTCATGTCCTGCCCGTGTCGTAAAACTTTTACAATCTTAAATCGATTTTTAATTTATGTAATGCCATCTTGTACAATAACAAAGCATAATAGTAAGTACTATTGTGTAACTAAGTATTCAAATATAGGTTTTCACTTAACGAATATGTAAGTCAATTCGGTGATGATTAATGAAAATACAAACAAAGGTAAAATATAATTTTCACATGTTTAGCTGATGTTGATATTGAACCAAAGTAGAAATAATTGTTAAATCTGATAATATTTTAGACAAAACCAATAATTAATTACTCTGTGTTTAGTATCACTTTACAATAATGCAGTGTGTATTATTGTGTAACTAAGCACAATAGTCTATGCAATACTATGCGGTTTTACTCCATTGTGAAATGACAATATGACATGAACTGTAACGATTTGCAGAATTCATCTATCAAGTATTAACAAAAGACTGAAAAAGTTATCCATCCCCAGCCTACATATTATTATGTGTCGAGCCTACTCTATACTTCACTTTTAATTTGAATAATTTAAATTCTCAATTACTAACTCTTTGAAAACTCTAAGTTTTTACACGTGTGGTATTATCATACATAAATTAAAAATAAGTTTTTAGATTGAAACTTATGCGTGAGAGGTGATATGTACATGTGATATGAGGTGACAAGTAAGTTACGGCGACTCAATTGTTTAGAGAAACAGCACTGTAGATAACTGTTCATATCCTGCTCGTGTCGTAAATTTTTTTCGATCTTAAATAGATTTTTTTTTATATAATTGTTTTTGTGTTTGATGTACGGTATGTGAGTGTGTGTAATTCCTTTTTGGGTTTTGATGGAATCAATTTAATTTACAGGCAAGAATCTAAATCGCAACAGAACGAAACTAAAATATTTTCTTGAGATTCGAATTCAGGACCTCTACACAGTTAAGTTTGTTGCCCAGCTTTTACGCAAAGCTGGGCAACAAACTTAACTGTTGGACCATGAAGGCGATGTAAAATATCGTGATGGTGAGCGAATATTAAAATAGTGTTGACGTGAAAATGGTTCATATGGAGATGTAAGGAGAAAATATTCTAAAAGGTTTTAAGGCATGCTGAAATTACATACTGTCAGTAGGATCTAACTCTACCTTACTCTAAGTTGACACATATTGAATTCATGTTTGAGGTTATATAATGTTATTTAGCATAAAATTCGATATTAACTATTTTAATGTCGTGTCTTCCAAATATAGCGTAATTCTGTTCTTATTCTGTTCTATTCTATTACCTAAAAATACATTATCTAAAAACAATTTTGGTAAAAATACAAATTTTGTTTTTGAATATATTCAGTATCTATACATTTATTTACCTACACATTTTTATACTTTATACAAAAAAATGACAGAGCATCATAATTAGATGTTACATGGCATAACACCTTCCATCAAGCGAACTCCAACTTCATCCTTCTTTGTGATAAACAAAAGTGGTTGTACTATGAAAATATTCAGGAATATACAATCAGACTACGATTTATTAATAATACTTTTTGTCTCCTCAAAACATGTTTATTTGTTCTATAAATAAAAAAAATTACAATTTTTACAATTAAAGTACTTTAAACTGCGGCCGAGTGTGTGTAAACTAATTCGAAACGTCGGGTTGTAGTAAAAAATAAGTTTCCAAATATTTAAAGTTTAAAAGTTATATTTAAATCTCTAAACAACCATTTATTACATTGAAGTGGCTGATTTATCATAATGCAATATCGCTTGCTGCTCTCAGGGTCTCATTGCAATATAATGATCAAGTGCAGCACGAAATGACCCGATGAAGTAATTAAGTAATCATATATCAATCAACGCTGACGCATGACAAATAGCTATTAATGTCCTGGAACGGATCAGTGTCGGGGGTGGGGGCGCGTGAATGTGCTCAATCGTTAGTTTATTGAAAGCAATCAATTCGGGATTCAAGCAAACATCCAATTAATTCAATATAGGCAACATCCGCTCTTACAACAAGAAAAATTAATAACCCCATCGAATATTAACCGATATAAATTGTTTACCTGTTAATATTCCCAAATCTAAATATAGATTTGTAATAATACCTACTGCGTATTAATGAGTTTGAACTGCTTTGCTATGGTAAATTGGAAATTTATTCCTGATAATCATAATTAAATTTTTCTTTTCATATAAATCTTTGAAAATGTTTAAATATTTGTTTATGACATAAGAACAGACAAGCATGAAGGCACCTGAAATATGGCTGCCACATGACATTCAAACAGATGCTTTATCGACCTATTTTGTCTTTGGATATTTGGAAATCCATGGACTAAAACCGAAACGCGGTTAAACTTGACAGCTTTTTCGTCTGTTGACATTGATTCGTGACCCGGGCAGAATATCGATATTTTTAGTACCCATTCAATATCCAGATTTCCAGACGTATTTCAACATGTTTCAGAAAAATTAGAAACATGTGGGACTCGATGGAAATTGAACCCATAAATTGCTACCGTGTTTTTCTATATCTCTATCTTATTATTAAAGGGGTTTCTTTTAGTAACAAACTTTTGTCCTAAAGCGTAACACATTGGCGCATTAAAACTGTAGAACATCGTTGAAACTGCGTTTAAATGAAAAAGTATGTCACTGAAAGAAATGCAGATAGCATTTTCCTATACCAGCAAAAAAACATGACTCCTCAATTATATCGTATATTTGTTAAGACTCGGTATTCAAAACATTTGTCCTTATTGATGACAAGAAACGGTAATGAAGGCCGATTCAATTTAGATATATTGTATGACATTGAAAATTATGCCTAATATGAACGTTTCTTATGAAATTATGAATATAGCTTCTTGTAGAGCTTTTGTGATTTACAAAATTACGTATTCTGTAATACGTGAGCCGTTTGCAAAGAATGTGATATAATTAATGAAACATCGCTGGAAAAGTCTTTCACGGCATATTACGTACTTAACAATCACTGGCTTTTTATGTTTATAATGTAAGTTACGTAAGTTTGACATATATGGTTATGATATTCAAATTTAATGTCCTTTCCTGGCTGTAATGTACCCGAGAACTAAATAATACACATAAAAACACTAAACTGTTTTTAAATATACTAATTACCTTAGGTTGTTAAAATAAATTGTTAGGTTAACGAACTACATTTCGAATTTCAAACCGTAAAACGAGTTTTATTTTAATGTATGATTGTAGAAATCTACACTGTCGGTTTGATTTAGATTTTTTGCTTAGTACATTAGAAACAATACTATAGTGAAATCTAAGTATAATCTTGGAGTTTTTGTTTTAGAATAAGCCAAAACAATCGTCAAGAATCAAAACATATCCCACTTCAACGCTCTACGCTCAAACTCACCTAGGCGTGACTGCTAGCAATGTTCTTAAGAGACGTTTAAACTGGCATTCAGAATAAGTTACTCGTTCAGAATTCCGGTCTCTTCTACCATCTCCATCTCGACATATAAGAAAAATCGTCAGATTTTATTTTCGCAAGCGTTACGTAATTTGAAATGAAATTTGACATCACCTTTTCATGAAGCGGATTCGTGCTAAATAACTCGACGTAAATTGCGCATATTTATTTAAATAACTGAGAGCAAACATTCGCAGAAGGTGCCAGAGATTCTGCTTCAAGTTCTTTAAAAGTTTTCACTTGCATTAGCATTTTCAGGTGGCATATCTTTAATTTAAATTCGCTGCGAATGCTCTACTCCGGCGTCATCTGCAGGAATATTATGATAACTTTTCGATATGTTAGAATGTCATACTTTAGTATTACTCACACCTGATGTACGGGTATAAGGTGTTAAACTTTGTCGCCTTTAAAAGCATTGAATTTACATCAATCGATTAGTTTCTAGTCTCACAACAGAAAGCCGCAATAACATTTAAATATATTTAACAATTATATTATAACAACTATAATAAAAGTAAAACATAATAATGTATAGAACTTAAAAGTAATAATAATGATTATAATAACTTTATTGCCAGTGAAATAAAAATGAAAAATGTCCATTTCAGGGTTTAATTAAAATTTTACCTCTAGTTGAATTGTTTATTTTTATAATGTAGACAACTTCACGAACCACGGTACAACGTCGATTTAATTAAATCTTTTAAATGAAAATTATCGCCTGTAGCGCTCTAGATTTAGTTGTCTACTTGAAGAGCTCATAAGTTATTACTTGAACTGAGTGAATTTAACTAAACCTGAAGCCTTTGCTGCGAAACCTCAAGCGTAGCCGCAGAGTGGAAAACTGTTTTAAGATAAAGTTTAAATAATGAAGTTATTACGCTAGAACACTACGCTGACGATAAATGTTTTAGGTTTCTTTAAATGCAGAAACGGTTTTATACTTAGACTTGCAACGTTTAAATGCAACTTAGGGAATTCTTTTATGTACGGGTTTAAAAAGCATAAACGGATTTGCGGAAAGCCTTTTAAAAAAATATGGTTATACGATTTACGGTACGGTAAACTATTTTTTGACTATGTATCTTTCTTTTATAAAAACAAACAAAGGTATATAATACATACTTTTTAAACTTAGAATCCAATAGTGGCTCTCACAAATACGTTATCACATCACAAGTATAGCACACAAACAAAACGTCGCGTACAAGATCGCGGGCGGGTGCTTTAAATTGCGATGGCGGCGAAAAGTTGCGGTGCGTCGGAAACCGCGTGGCTTCGGGGCGGGCTGGCGTGTCACTGGCCGTCGTGTTCCCGCCCGCCCTCGCCCAGGCGCAATGACGCTTGACGCACCGAAATGCTAACCAAGATATCATTTCCTTTCCTGATCATAATCATTACTATTCGCCTACACAACCCAGTGTACAAGCCTAATGTTTCATACGCCAACCTAAACTTTCTATAACTCGATTTTCCCTTCGTCTTTAATCAAGATTGATGCTGGCACTTTGTAATATGATCCATAAGTTCACGTAAATAACATGTAAACCAATTTCGTGCCATCAAAACCACTTTAAAACGCTCAACAACCATGAAGAGAATAAAAGATAAAAGTTTCCATAGTCAGAGCAAAAAATTGATGACAGTAAAGTATTATTACGACCTCTCGCGACGCCTTTTTCTCTTGTCTCTAGACTTTTAGACATTCTAGACACTTTTATTTGAACATAGAACTAAATTATAAGCTTCCACTTCACTTAAGTGATGGAAAATTGTGACATAATATAAAAATTGTCTACCCCTTAAGTTCTTTTGCAATTACTTAAAACATAAATAATTTGTGTTAATATTTCATGTGTGCGTTTGTCCTTTAAAAGTCCACAAAAGACCTATTATTGTGTACTATAAAAGTGAAATATTTCAATAATACGTTTCTCTAATAACTTCAACGGTTTATATAAGCAAAGTTGTGGTTAAACAAGCAACATATTAATATTATATTCAATTTTGCATTCTCGACATAAGATGCGGTTTATGAAATCGTGTCCCGTCCATATAATATTATTTTGAATATTTAGAGACCTTGTACTATAAAAAATTGTTGATTGTACCACATTAACGTAAAAGGTTTTCCCTCGAAGCACTCAAGCACTATGTATTTTGATAGAGATTATCTAAATATTATTTCTACGTAATATATAGAACGTTAAATGAATTGACAAAACTGATGTATACATTTAAAGCTAACATTTTACAGGACACAGGTCTGCTTTCGTAAAGGGTCTTGAGACCCACCACGCTATTCCAGTGTGGGTTGGCGGGCTTTTAAGTAGTGGTGATAACTGCGACCGACGGTTTAACTTACATTTGTAATTAACTTTACAACGGTGCATTTTGCTCCTGGCGATTCATATTTCTATATACATTAAAACATTAGCTACCAAACATTAAAATGCGCATAACCACAGTTGTATTTTAATAAATAATCTTGTTAGAAAGGTAAGTGACAAGGGTTTGTAGATGAGCTCAAAGCTGAAGAAAGCTTTGTCTTACAGGGACGTTGGATAAATGTTGATTCGATTCTTGGTGTTACCACTAATGTGTTTTAATTGTGGTATAAGAATATACGTCAGAGATTGTTATTTACAAGTAAAGAAAAACATGAAAATATGAAACCGCTAAAGAGATATGTTTTCAATCACATAATTACAATATTGTATAAATATTGGTGCTTTTCCACGAGAACACGGATATTTGCATTCAACGGCCTATTATACATATAGTTAAAATTACTGATGGCACGAACTACATTTAATCGTCGTTAACTTTTAGTGTTAACGTGGTTTACGAACATCGTATCAACAGTCTGTGGCAGTCCCAACATTGGATACTATTAAAATTGTAAATTGCCACTGTTGGCTAAATCCTAATCTACACGGAAACAAATGAGTATTCGTTTGAAAACTTTAATATCTTTCACATAGGCATATACATATAAATCGAAAAAAAATTACGTCTCGGGCAGGACTTAGAGCGGCATCGTCAACGTTCCATTCTGTTGCTCTAACCGGTTGGATTCGGGCTCAAGTCAGTAAATCGGAGTCGTAATTTTTTTTTAATGAAATGAGTATTCAATAACAATAAGTTCATTTTCTAGTTTTAGTTACTTCCAGACGGTGCAACAAAATTTGTGTATCTAAAGATAAATATTTTGATTCACGACCGAAAAACGCAATAAAGACTCATTTCGATTGAAGTTGTTCGAATTTGGACTTTACAATGTAGGTACTACATAATGTTTTAATTTAAAAATATCACATATGAAGCATGTGATGTGTTCACGATGTAACATTATAAGTACGGCAAGCATTAACGGAATAATTAAAACGTCCAAAGCTTGGTGCCAGGGACATAATTAATATTTAGTGTGTGTCCAATGTTCACGCAGGCGGCTGCTATCAGCTGCTATCGGCACAAAAGTATTTCATTAACTACGATCGAAATTATCATTTCGAACGGGATGTTTATCATTTTCATTTTTGGTATATTCAGTTATCATTAAAATCCCAAAACTCTACAATCGTAATTCGATTCTTAGCATCCCTATTAAAAATAAGTTTTTTTTAAATCTACTATAAAAATCTAGTAATTCAAGTTTTTCAAATACGTTATCATATAATATAGTTAACTACATCCTATGCAGTAGTCGTGATCACGTGGGCAATAATAGTTTTCGCGTTTTAAACCGTTAAGTGTTTTATTTAAATGTGTACAACTCGCGGAATCTACAGACAATGTTTTCTAAAAGTAAATGAAAGAGATACTATTATTGTATAATTAGTCGCGTTGGTCTAGTGCTATGTGTATCAACTCTGTTTATAAGGTCGGGAGTTCCATCCCCGGTACGCTGAATTATTATCTTTCTAACACGTGAAGAAAAACTTGAGGGAAACTGACATGTTCGAGGTCAAAGGAATGAACAAAATGTGCCAACCGACAATTGTCATTGTAGATTAAGAATAATTTGTTGTGGGAGGCCCAAGCCTCCATTGTGGGAAAGATTTCGGGCCTAATAACGATTATTACTTACTATTTTGAAAACGTCTTTCCACACTTCCCGCGTCATGTTCTATACTAAAATATAAGGCTGAGGAGTTTGTTTGTTTGAACGCACTAATCTTAGGAACTACTGATTCCAATTGATTTTTGTTTTGTGATGTTAAGCTATAAGCTAAGCGCTTTGACTAATAGGGGCAAAGAAATAGCGAAATATGAAAAAAACGGGGAAAATTATTCATCTTTAAGAGTTTCCTATGCCTCCGAAAACGGTTCAAGATACCCAAAGAATATTTATAAAAGAATGATTTCTATTAAAATTATCTAAAAAAATGTCCGCGACACAATATGTCTATCTTCTAAGATTAACTTGCAAAGACGGCGGGACGCGTCCGACGTCATAAAAATTTAAATTTATAAAGACTTCAAGAAGGTGTAAAAAACAATTTTTAATTTGCACAAACAATTTTTAATGTGCAAAAACAATTTTGTATGTGCAAAACTACTTTTCTACGCGGTCGCTGACACAGCTGGTAATCGATAAATAACTTTAGTGTCCCAAGTCTAAATCTATTGGTGCTTTAATCGTGCATGTCCGTCAAACTTATTGAACCTTACCTGTACTTCCGTACTACTGTTCAAGCTGGACATTTCTTTACAAACGTGAAACAATACTCAGCTTTTTAGAGCAGTGTGCACTTCTATACACAATACGACGTTACTCAGGGAATACATTGTTTACCTCAAGTCTGTAGTTTATGTATTTTGTTCTTTAATTGCGATTGTATGAAATAATTTTGATTATAATTAACATAAAAATGATGGGTATACATTTCTTTACCAATTGAGATAAAGAGTGTCGTAATTCTTAGAGCAAAGACTCGGTTCTTTCCAAAGCAAACAAATTTATTTTTTTATAATTGTTATGCAAGCTATAATGTTCACTAACATGTGGAAGATATAAATTTTTATAATGTAATGGAGTTGGCATGAAACTCTTCTCTCGAATGTAGGCTCTCGAAATTTAATGGAATTTTGGTACTCATTCTGTCAGCACCTTTATCAAAGGAATGATAATCGATATTGTTGCTCTCAACCTAAATATTTTTATTTTCTAGCTGTATTTAAAAAAAGGTTATAACTTTTTTCAAGTCCTCAATCGTCAATGTTCAAGAGCCATTAAAACAATTGAAAAATTCATGAAAAACAAGTGAAAAACGATCACTGCGACAAGACTTTCTGTGGAAATGGACGTTATCAGACGAAGCTTTTAATTAGATTATTTTCCAGCTTAAACCTCGGCGGGCAAGCGACAAACGTTTGAATTGTGCGTTTCAATTTACTATTTAAGCTATTTATAGCCTCAGATACCAAATTTTAAAAGTTCAGAAGTACTTACTTTTCAAATCACCTTTGAGTAGATTTACTGAACTTACCTGCAAGAAAGAAAAAAGGAACATTAACTTTGAAAAATTTGAAAAAATTTAAAAACTATTATTTTTTACATGCATATGAAGGCACTATATAATTTAAAAATCGAGAATAAATTTAAATTTATTTAGATTTTTAAATTATAGGAAAATTGCAATATTATTACAACACAAAGAGTACTATCATTAAATTACCACCTTAATTAGTTAATGACTTATTGTTTACAAAAAGCATTTTCATGTTGAAAATCTTACTAGTAATATAAGTTTTACGATAGAACAATTATCCGCTAATATTAACGGAAATATGTTGGAGCGCCTCGCTCCCGTCAGAGAAATGATAAGCGAACAAAAGCCTGAAATAGTGGAGTTGTCTAAATCATTATTTATTGTTTCGTTAACGAGCGTCGAAGGAAAGGCCGGATCCGTGGCTCGGTGCCCACCCCGGAACTAGATACTGAGTCGCGACTGCCGCGCTTTGGATAAATCTGGCAACCCGTTAATTCAGTAATTCCACTGCGAGGTAATTACCTAATTCCCGAAACTTTACGTGTAATCCGGTCAGATAAGGGGGAGGGAAGTACCAACATTCACGTAGTTTACAATATTTATAGCTCAAAGTTTTGTTTAACTTTATTTCACTTTTACTCTAACGTGTGACATACCAAACTCTTATATTATAGTAAAGTACAGTCAAGCTTATAGCATTGCTAATGGACTTTTGATATTCTTATAGTGAAATTCCGTTTCTGATTTCAACAAATTACTGTGTCCGTTTTACTGATCGGCTTCACACAGGCAAGTAATTGATCAGACTTCTGTGCCCGACCCGACCGAAACAATTTATTGTTTTCCCGGGATTCGGACCCAGGGCGGCCTTATCACAATAC